ATGTAAAAAGTTTTCATTAAGTTTAATAAAGATAAGAGCATGGTCTCACCTTTAACATTAAAAAAAAAAAAAAAAGATATTGATACTAATAAAAATAAGTAAAATAATAATAAAGAAAGAAATATGTAAAAAAAAAAGCGAGCCGCTGCTATTTCATGAATTGTCGATGAATAGAGGAAGTATCTGGATTAACCCAGATTTTTTGAAATGAATATACCTGGATATAATATATGAACCAGATATATATATAATTTGAATATATAAAATATGGCATTAGAAGCTCTGATCTGATTGGATGCCAGAGAAAAATATCGTGCATTATTCAAACTATAGACCTACACATAAAATTTGATTAAATTTTTATCTAGAAAATATAGATTGTAAATTGTATTTGGATTATAAAATAATATCTGGATTAACAAATCTGGATTAATCCAGGCACATTTTTTTAGTCATATTTATATCTGGATTGTAAATATGTGTTCAGTTTCTAACTTTACTGATGACAACTGTACCACAATTGAACCGCTTTCTTATAGAGACATTGATAAAAAATGTTATTTATATTCAACTTTTTCATAATGTTTAAATATTAAAACTTGAATTAAAATTTTTGCATAGAATAGAGAATATGCACATGTGTAAAATGCTAACATAATCCTAATCATCGAGTAAACCTTGTACAAATTATTATTATTGTTATTTTTTAGTAAAGAAGAACCAACCTATAATCTGCCAAATTCTAAATTTGGCACTTATGAGATTATTTTATATCTTGCTTTAGGGTCATATTAAATGTGAAACACATATAGAAATGCATGCTATACCATATTATACGGCATTATCAGGGTTAAATGGAGCAGTGAACCCAATGGAGCTGCAAATGAAGCCAGTGGATACTAGTTTTTGAGCACCAATCGCATAACCACTAAGCTCCGTTGGCTACATTGCCAACTCTGAGTATTATACCTGGTATCATACTACCACCATTTTCTATTATACCGGTATAAATACATGCTAGGTTATCTCATGAGAGGGACATCTCTAAATTGGAATTAATGGTATTTTTAGAATTTTGGACTTTTTATCCTACCTAAGACCTAACTTTAATACCTAGTTAGTTATTTTTCACATGATTAAAATGTTTTTTTTAAAAAAAAACTATTTCTTAAGAGTAATTTATAATTATTAATATACGTTAGCAAATGTGTTATTTAAATACTTAGTATAAATATTTTAAAGGAAAAAGGTTTTAAATATTTATATACTGTAAATTCTTAAAATAAAAAAAAAAACTATTTTTAAAAAATTTAAATATTTATACAAATATAAATAGACAAAAATATCCTTAACATGAACAAGAAACATTAACATATACACCAACACAACTATATATACATAAGCATTTGTTGCAACGTTGTAGAAAACCACAATCATCATCTAAATTACATTGTGCACATATTCCAGCACTATTACAGTTATATCCACCTGCACATTGTGGATTACATTGAGATGGTAATGATGATGAAGGTGTTGTAGTTGGCGAAAGTGGTGGATTTGTAGGTGGCGGAGATGGTGGATTTGACGATGAACTATAATCTAGTCCAAAAGGTTGTTCACAAGTATTATGCACTCTAACTTCGCAAACAGATAACACACCTAAAATAAAATTTAATATTCTGAAATAAAGTATAAAATTCCTATTAAATTTTAACAAAAACTAAAAAAAAAATTCTATTATTATTTTTATTAACTCAATTTAAAAGAAATTATAAAAGAAAATATATACTTTTTGCATTTCAAAAATGTTTAAAGCTCGATGTCTAAAAACATATCGTATTTATTTAATTTACTTTTGTAATAAATACATATAAAATTTGTACAACGCAAAATAAAAACAAAATATTTAATTGAAAAATTTTATAGATAACTTAAAATTTTAATGTAACCATATTTAGATATAAAGATTTGTGAAATAAATATTATATAATACCAAAATTGTAAATTAATCTACAAAGTTGGTATTATCTGTTATACAAATTCGAAATATTTATACACGAGTGCTGCAAAGAGAAAATAAAATTTTGGGCTTTTAATTTTTTTATTTAATATTTATTGGATTTAGTCCTTTTAAAACCTTATGGTAACGTATATAGTACATACGTATTCACATATCACAATCAGATTTTTCATGGGCTGAATCCAATTAATAATCAATGATAAACTTGAAAGCCCAAAATCTCATTTTCTTCTGGTAGTACTCAGATTATTGTAACGCTTTACACTATTGCAAGCGGGATGACAGTGACGCTCTTAATATTTTGATTTAAACTCAGATGGAGCTAAAATTTAAAATTGGGGCATACCTAACAAAGATTACAAAATTACGAATAAACGATTTATGTAAAATGCATACCTTTAAAGGATAAAATGGCAAAATAAATAAATCAATGATCATTTTGCTTAAATGAATAGTTCAAAATTGTTAAAGTTAGGAAAGTTAGAAAAGTTAGAAAACCTTATAACTGAGTTCTGCTTAATAATATACAGGGTACATAAATACAATAAATTAATCAAATGAATGTGAATTTTTTGATTAAATACAACTTGCAACTTAACAACAGTTGCACATGTTTTTTTTGAGACAAATGCTCTATTTAAGTCCTTATTGTGAATTAACACTTTATTCTATTGTAAAATTGCAATTTATTATTATGGATATGCTTACTGCAGTTTTTTGAAAATACATTTGATTGGTTGTCGATCTTAAAATTTCATTGGCTGATTATAGCAACCGATTATATAGGCAGAGTGCTACAAAAAAGAGGGAGATCGATTAATTTTCAAAAAAATTTTTTTACACAAATCAATTCAAAATAAGGTTATGATTATTTTCACTTGAATTCAAAATAAATTTTATTAGGATTACAGATTTGATTAGTGGAATATGCCAAGATACTTTTGTTTGTTTATTGTGATATCAAGAAAATCAGACCTCAAATCTCGAACATATAATTTTGTAATATCGAGTTTAATTTACTTGATGTTACTCACCCAATGAAATGGGCGAAAGTTAATTATACAAGAATTTTAAATTAATAGTAATAATTTTGTAATATGATTAGTAATGTAGAATTATTCAAAATTATTTTTTGTGCAAGACAATGCCGAAAAAAACATTGGTCAATTTATATTTGAGCTTTATATAAATTTGTGGAAGAACTTTGTTTTATGATAAATAATACAAATAATAAAATATTTTTACTGTACATTTCTTTTTTCGATTAATCTTTTTTTCGAATGACATTTTTAATTTAACCGTATTGTTAATAGTTAAAATATTAAATTTATTTTAATATAGTTACACAAAATTATTTATCACATCAAAAACTTGCAAATATTTAGCTTTTCAAACCACTTGTATTTAGCAATGTAAAATAACTCTAAAGAAAAACAATTTCAAGTTAGTGAAAGTTTTTATTTTAAATCTCCCATTAGGGCATATACAGGTCATTGAACACATTGGGGTTTCATAATTAAAGATTACATACAATTTCAGATAAAATAAGTAATGTATTTATTTCAAAAGAAGTGACATACTAATCCTACTTTTTTAAAGTATGTACTTTTTACATAATCGCTTACTGATGAATGTTTAACAAAAAAAAGACTAATTTTTATCACTGGCTACACCTATTTAATTTTCTGATTCAGAATTCTAAAAAAGAAATAGGATCTTTTAAACTTCCACTTATTTTGAAAAAGTTAATTCTGAAATCCCCATTGTTTACTAGTTAAACATTGATTGCAATAACTAGTGATGAAGTGATTCAATTTTGATGATTCGAATGAATAGTACTGACATCGTCAAAACTGGGTCATTACATTAAGAGTTATTGTAGATCGAAGTTTAATATAGTAAAGAATAGTAAAACAAAATGTACAAAGATTAATACCCCCGTATACTAAACACAGAATATTTCTAAAGTTAATAATTTTACTTAAATTAGTCTCGAATTGAAAAAATGTATCTTGTACTTTCAATTTCGACTTGTAGTCCAAAGTGTTTATTTATCTCGACATTATGTAACAATTATATTCAAGTGCAACCAAGTAAGTCAAGCTGTAAATAAAAAAGTGCATTTATATTTTTATTATGACTTATTTTTAAATATACAAAAGTTTGATAATATTTTTTTATTGATTATGTAAAATTCACATCGTCCAGAAGTAAACAAAGAGCATCGTGAAACAAATCTTATTTGACATAGAATGGCTAATTAAATTGCTAAGGTTAATGAGGTTTAATTAAATACACTTAAAGGCCCCAAAAAACATTGAATAGGTCAAAAAACCTGAATGCTGGTTACGATTTTATTATAAATTTGCTTGATTACTAATTTGTATTTTATTGAGTTTTATTTAGTATATGTATTCACTTAGATAAAGCATCATAATAAGGTATTAATTTACTAGAAGGCAGGGATAGTAAATGATGAAGTTTGCATGACATATTAATTATGTACATACGTACTAGTATTGTCAAACAACCGTTTATCATTATATTCCACGAAATCATACTTTATTATTGGCCAATTTTCGCGCAAGGAATGTGTGTAGATTAGTTACAAACCACCAATCAGATTCAAGATCAGGCGTAACGTTACACAATCAAATCAAGTATTTGTTTTGCGGTTATTTCTCAAAAATCTGCGTAATAAGCAATCATTCGTGCTTTAATAAAAAGGTTCTCTTAATCTAAATATCAATAAACTTTAAATAATTTTGCATATTTTAGATGTGTGTTCGACAACATGCATCATACATTCCGGTCTTAACACGCAAACTTCAACATCAATTTCAAGTCACCGGTTAATTTATAAAATTTAACCGGTAGTTAAAAAATTAATTACTATATTTTCGCGCAATAACACTCACGAGCGTTATTTAGAATAATTGTCCGAATTTGAAATTATACACTTACGCGTTATTTCGCGAAAATTAGGTATATGGGATGATAAGTAGAAAAGGGACAAAATTTTTTAAGTAAAAGCTTTCTTAACTTTAAGTTTAAATATTGTATCTCAGTAAATTTTTTAATTCTATATAATTCCAAGGTTAAAATAAAAAAATTTTTATTAAATAGTTGAAATATTTTACTTTAAAAAAATTTACTAAAATGATTTGTCCTTTTTCTACTAACTTCCTATATTCTTTATTTAGCTATAATAGCGCAAATATATGAGTGTCACCAAAAGAAATCCAGAAATCCAAATATAGAACTTCTTATAGAATGCAAGTCAGGCATATATAATTTAAACGCCAACCAAAGACTAAATTCTTCATGTTCATGTGCTATAATGATAATTTTTGAAAGCCCACATTCTGTTGTATAAAAGTTTTATATTTAGATTTCTGGGTCTTGGCTTATATGTAAACTTATTCGTACATAATGACAACAACTCTCACCTTCTTCTAATCACAAATTTACCTATAATTTAACCTTTTTGGTTTACTTTTTTTTTTTTGTATCTATAATCATTTTACAAATATTTGTCCAAGTTAAAAGACTCATTAGATTAGTGCAACAGCTTCTCTTATTATAAATTTACAAATGAGTGTTGTCAAAAGAAACCCGACAATTTAAATATAGTCTATATTTAAATTGTCAGGTTTTCTTTTAGCGACACTCAAATAATATAAATCAATAATGAAGTAAATTAAAAAATCGCACAGAACATATTCATTATTTTTTGGTACACCTCTAGTAGATGTAATATTAATTCTGTGGCCGATA